GCCGCCGGCGGGCCCGCGCGGCCCCCCCGCCCCCCCCCCCCCCCCCCCCCCCCCCCCCTGCCTCTGCCTCCTGAGTGCTGGGATTATAGGAGTGTGCCACCACCACCTGGCTTATAGTTCTTGATGGTATATACTGTATATAAAATGAGATGACTCTTGCTGGAAATATTAAAATACTGATTAATTTTTTTTTTTTATTTTGAGAGGATCTATCACTATTTAGTTCTTGCTGACCTAGAACTTCCCATGCTGGCCTTGAATTTAACAGAGATCCTCCTAACTCTCTTTCCCAGAGCTGAGATTGAAGACCTGTGTCATTAATAAAAAATTTAAGTGATTTTGACATTTTTGTCTGTTTTTTTTATTTTTTTTTCCTTTTTGTTTTCTTGTCCCTTGCCTTCACCATAGGCATTCTAATTGATTAGGTTTCTGATATCCAGATCTGTTCCTAAGACGTAAATTGACAAGACCACATTTCTGTGCAAACATTGAGGAGCTAGTTGGCAACATGAAGGTCTTCTGCGGTCGTGCCAATCCAACCACAGGATCCCTGGAATGGCTGGAGGAGGATGAACACTATGATTACCATCAGGAAATTGCCAGGTAACAAGGGGTGCTTCTCAGGTGGCTGCAGGTGGATAGGGCTCAGTGACATTAATTTAGTTTTGAAAATAGGTTTTGGGCATTGCTTTCTGAGCAGTTGAGATGTTAACTAGGAGAATAAAACACTTGCTGAAAGTAGTGTGTGGGAAGTGGGTTGGAGAGAAAGGGGAGTGGGTGGTTATTGTAATCCTGAAGTAGAAGCAGTGGAGGTGAGAGCAAAAAAACAGCTTGGAGGAACCTGAGTTTAGAAACTCACTGCATGAAGTTAAGGGAAACAAAGTTCAAGAAGGACCAAGATGTCTTCTGGTTAGACTGACTAGGTAGATGGAGATGTCATTCCCTGAGGGGAGGGATGGACGAATGGGCAGCGTTCTAGAGGGAAAGGTATGGACATGAGGTGCTAAGGACGTTCAGATGATGATGCTGGTAGGTAGAAAGAAGCATGGCTTTTGAGACAGAATTCGTAGAACTTGGGAAAGTTGAAATTGAGAGAAGCTGTAGCATCTCAACAAAGGAGGGTCTGGAAAGTAAAATCAGGATTAGCTGAGGAGGCAGAAGCAGAACCAGAAGGAAAGTTAGGATGGAAAGAAAAGGGACATTTAGGAAAGAGGAAGTAACTGTTAGGGTCAGTCTGCTAAGAAGGCCTGAGTGCTGATGACCATTAGCGTGAGCAGGGCGTGGTGAGGGTGAGTTATGTCAGTGCAACGGTGAGAAGTGAATGGCTGATAAAGCCAGGAAGCTAGCGAGTAGACATATCTTTCAAAAAGTAGGTTAATGTTTGGGTGGTGGTGGTGGTGCACGCCTTTAAACTCAGAACTCGGGAGGCAGGCAGAGGCACGCAGAGGATCTTTGTGAGTTTGAGACCAGACTGGTCTACAAGACCTAGTTCCAGGACAGCTAGCGCTACACAGAGAACCCTGTCTGGAAAAACAAAAAAACAAAAAAAACAAAAAACAAAAACAAAAAATAAAAAAAAAAAAAAAAGAAAGAAAGAAAGAAAAGAAAAGTAGGTAGGGAGGTTGAGAGATGGCTATGCAATTAAGAGGTTGTAGCTAGCTCTGGAAGATCTGATGCCCCCTTCTGGACTCTGGGTGTTTGCACTCACAGGTACATGTATCCTCAAACAGATAGACTTATACATATATAATTAAAAATAAAATAACTAGTTTTTGTATTTTATTTATTTCTTAAGATTTATTTGTTATGTATTTTATGCACATGAGTGTTCTATTTGTGTGTATTCTTGCACGACAGAAGAGAGCATCAGACAGAAGAGGGCATTGGATCTCATTATAGATGGTTGTGAGCCACCATGTGGTTGCTGGGAATTGAATTCAGGACCTCTGGAAGAGCAGCTAGTGTTCTAAACTGCCAAGCCTTCTCTCCAGTCCTGAGATTTTATTTATTTTTAAGACAGGATCTTACTGTGTATCATTGGTATGTAGACCATGCTGGCCTTGAACTCATAGAGATCTGCCATACTCTGCTTCCCAAGTGCTAGTGTTAAAGGAAAGTGTCACTCTATCTGGCTCTTAATTTTATATTTATGCTTGAATATATGTCTGTGCACCACATATGTACAGTGCCCATAGAGGTCAGAAGAGGGCATTGGATTCCCAGGTACTAGAGTTAGACAGTTGTGAGCCACCATGTGGGTGCTGGGAATCAAACCCGGGTCTTTTGCAAGAGCAGCAGGTGCCCTTAACTACTGAATCATCTCTCTAGTCTCAATCCACTTTAAAAATAAACAAACAAACAAAAAATGGGCCTGGTGACACCTGCTTGTAATCTTAGTACCAGGTAAGTGGAGACAGGAAGATCCCTGGGGCTTGCTACCTGCCCGTCTATTCTAATTGGTGAAATAGGCCAGTGAGAGGCCCTGACTCAAAGAAGGTGCATAGTATGAATGAGGATGACTGGAGAGTTTCCTCCAGTTTCCACATGCTTGTACAAACTTGTGCATGTGCACACATACACGCATGAATGTGCACACAGTATGTTTACAGAGTGGGTAGGGAGCATGTTTTCAACAGTGCATGAATTTATCTTAGGTTGAAATCCTAATTAGCACCCAATAAATGTATTTTTCTTTATTCTTGGCTTGGTTGGTTTTATTCACAGTCAGAAATAGCAAAACATTGAAAATAATGAATAATTGAAATTATCAACATTGTTAGGCAAACCTGTGGTGTATCTATATAGCAAAATAGAAATGAAGTCTTTATTTTCATTTCATCCTCCACTGGTAGAGTGATCTTCACAACATACTACATGAAAAAAGCAAGTGTAGACATATACTGCTTTTGTGTTGGAAACAAATTGTTGCTTATTTTTTGTAAAAAGAAGCTCTGGAAGAGTAAATGGAAATGGATGAAAGTTCCCTGTAGACAGTGCAAATGGGACTGGGTGGGTGTTTGTTGTGGTTGGTTTTAATGTTTACTTGCCACAATTAGATTCAGCTGAGTGGGGAGCTGCACCTGAAGAATTTTCCCTATTGTTTTGGATGAGGTGGGAAGACCACCCTGATTTTGGGTTGCACCTCTGGTAGCACCCAGATGAGAAAAGGGCATCTCAGAAGGAAGTTCCCCCTATTTACTTGCTTGGCCTTCCCTCTTGCCAATGAGTCAGTTTGCTCTGCTGCTATTGCTGCTTCCTTTTCTGACAACAGAACCAGAGTTTCCAAGCTTTCAGGGTGGAATAGGAACCAGCCACTCTCCAACAATTTTCTGGGCTCCAGGTGCCAGACTGGGACTACTAGGGCACCCCACCTTGTGGACTAACTGGTCATAGCCCCCCAGTGAGTGACAGTTATTCTAAGACTGCTCTAACTTTTGAGACACCCAACTTTAAGGACCGTGTAACTACTTGTGCTCAACATCTCAGATGTAACTTAGCTGTTGTTACTATTTTAAAGCTCACTTGCTTAATGGATTTTTTGGGGAGTGGGGTGGTATGTGCAGAAGATTCTCCCAGCACACACTTAAAAGCCACTAGATTGTTCATGTACATCTGGGGCCAGTCAATTTTATTACTCAGTCATTTTTTGTCTGTTGTAACTTTGTCCAAAGATGCTGAAAGGAATGAACCAGCACCAAAGGTTTCATACACACAATCACTAAATTCCCTATACCTCACAAGAGGAGAATCAGGACTCAAATACATTTATCTCAGTAAATTCTTTAAATAGTGCATACCATGGGTTTTCAGTGCCCTCCATACTATCTGATGAATTTTTTTTGTTTTTCAAGACAGATTTCTTTTTGTAGCCCTGGCTGGCCTAGAACTTGCTATGTAAGCCTGTCTGGTCTCCAACCCAGAGATCCTGCCTGCCTCTGCCTCCTAAGTGCTGGGATCAAAGCTGTGCACCACCATGCCCAGCTATCTGAGGAGTTTTTAGTGACTGTAGGTTCCATGTAGCTGAAGAACCTGTTCCAGACACCACTAAGCCTAATAGAGAAACTCATCCTTACAATTCTGTTTTCTCGCCAGGGAGATGGCTCAGTGGTTAAGAGCACTGGCTATTCTTCCAGAGGACTTAGGTTCAGTTCCCTATACCCACATGACAGCTCACAATTCTGTTTTCTCCAGCACCACTCCTGGTACGGTAATTTGTTTTACTCAGGGTCCTCTAGAGCAACAGAATCAAAGGGATACAATAATTAATTATATGTGCATCAGAATATCTGTATACCTCAGAATTTTTTCTTTTTTAATATCTCAGATTAAAAAAAAATTAAAGATTTGTTTTATGTATGCGGTGCTCTATCTGCATATACACCTGCAGGCCAGAAGAGGGCATCAGATTCCATTGGAGATGGCTGTGAGCCACCATGTGGTTGCTGGTAATTGAACTTTATCTGGAAGAGCTGCCAGTGCTCCTAACCTCTGAATCATCTCTCCAGCTCCTATCTCAGAATTGATTAAGGAAATTCTTCAGGTAATACTCAGATTATTCTAATTGTGGCAAGACATGCCCCACCAAGTACCCATAGGCCAACCTGATCTAGATGATTCCACACTCAGATGTCCTTTTCAGGTGCTTCTAGTTGTATCAGGTTGACAGTTAAACAGTCCAAGCTGAGCATTTTTGAGGTAGAAACAGGTGGATCTCCTTGTGTTCAAGAACAGCTTGGTCTATGTATCAAGTTCCAGGCCAGCCAGGGATACATTGTTGAGAACCTGTCTCAAGACCAAGACAGACAAAAAAAAATAAACACAAACAAACCAATCAACACAGTGGGTAGATGGAGAATGAAGTGAGGATTCTTAGGATTATAACCTCATCTTTATTTAAAGCATACTAGGTAAGTAAGTAGTCTATCACTGACTGGCAACCACATCCACCTCCTATGCTTGGGGACCTGAATAAAGTAAGCATAGGAAGGACTGTAGGTGGTTCAGAGGAAAAAATATTCTTTCAGTGTAGTGTTCTGCAAGTGTAGAGTATACACAGCCAGTGTTAAAACTGCCTGTAGTAGAGTTGGTTCAAGTGCAGCCTCCAGACTCCATCTTGGATTGGTGTGTGTAGAAAATCTGCATTTCAGATAAGCTTTCCCAGTCATGCTGGCTGAAAGCTGGAGGCCTTTTTTTGTTGAGAGTGACTCAGTTTACCCTGGAGTTCCCAGAATTCCTCTTTAGGCTGTGGCCTGAGTCCTGGGTATTCACTTGGGCCACAGGGTTCCAGCTTTTTAATTTTCTTTATTTGTTTTTTGGGTCGTGTTTGCAATCTAATTGAGGGCTTCACACATGCTAGATGCTAGGCATTTTTTATGCAACTGAGTTCCACCCCTGGCCCCAGTTTCCAGAATTTTTAGTTGCTGTGGTAGAAAATATGGATGCGATCTTTTCTTCTTCTTCTTCTCCTCCTCCTCCTCTTCCTCCTCCTCCTCCTCCTCCTCCTCCTCCTCCTTCTTCTTCTTCTTCTTCACATTCATCTTTATTTTACATCCTGGCTGAAGCCTCCCCCCTCATCTTCCCCTTCCAGTCCCTCCCCCCATCCCCTCCTCTTCCATCTCCTATGAATATCAGTAAAACTTGGCATATAAGATTAAGCACCACCCCTTGCATTAAGTCTGGGCAAGATGACCCAGTATGAGAAATAGGATCCCAAAAGCCAATAAAGAGTTGGAGACAGCCCTTGTTTCCACTGTTAGGAGTTCCATAAGAAGACCAAGTTACACAACTGTAACATATATGTAGAGTGCCTAGGTCAGTCTCACATAGGTTCCCTGGTTTTAGTCTCTGCCAGCCCCTATGAACCTGGTGAGTTGATTGTGTGAGCCTTCCTGTGATGTCCTTGACTGTTCATGCTCCTGTTCTCTAAACTCTGCCTAATATTTGGCTGTGTGTCTCTGCATCTGCCTCCATTAGTTCCTGGATGATGCCTCTCTGATGATAATTGGACCAGGCACCAATCTGGTCATAGGAGATGACTAATTTAGGCTACTTGTCCACTATTTCTAGGAGTCTAACCTGGGGTCCTCCCCATACACTCCTGGGAGATTGTCTTTGGCCAGACTTCTGCCTGACCCCTAAATGCACCACCCCAGCTGTCCTCCTCAACACATTCCCCCTCTACCTCAACATGTTCCCATCCCCACCTGCCCTCAGTCCTCTCATAGAGTCTCTTCTATTTGACTTTCTTCCTTTTACACACCATATTTAGCTTAGTATTTCCCCTGATGATGTGTATGTAGATGTTACTTTCTTCTCTTTACACAGTGTGTTTAGCCAATCATTTCCCTCTGATGTGGTGTGAACTTCTGAGCCTGATGAACCATACATATAGAGCAGCTGTAGGCTCTCCCTTTCCCAGTTCCTCTTCCTAGTTGGATATATGGGGTTGTTCTAAGGTGTACAAGTATTATTCAAGGTTAGGTTAAGTGTTAGGATTATTGAGTGTTATATATGATCAGGATGTTCCTGGTTGTAGCTTACTATTTTAGGCTAGCTGGTGGGCCAGTGAAATGGGTCATCAGGTTAAAGGTGTTTACTTACTACCAACACTAACAACCTGAGTTCAATCCCCAGGGTCCATATAAAGGTGGAAGGAAAGAATTGATTCCTGCAAATTGACCTTTGACCTCCAGATACACACATAGATAAACACTTAAAAATACTTCTCTAGGTTAACTACTAGGACAATTTTGGACCTGAGAAAAACATCTGCCCTGATTTTTTTTTTTTTTTTCAATAGTAGAGATTGATAGTAACTGATTATACTAAAATAAATTTTGGGGGCTGACAATATGACTCAGTGTGTACAGGTGCTTGCTGCCAAGCCTAAAGACTTGAGCTCAATCTTTGCAGCCCACATGGTTTAAGGATAGCACTAACTTTCACAAAATTGTTCTTTGACCTCCACATAAGTGCCATGTTGCATGTATTTCTTGCCTCAAATAATAAAATTTTCATTTATTTATTTGAGACAAAAGTTTTACTCTGTAGACCCTGTTGGCCTCAAACTCACAGAAATCCACCCACCTACTTCTGCCTCCCAAGTCCAGTGAGTAAAGGTAAGTGATCCCATGCCCAGTTTTAAAAAACATTTTTTTTTGAGACTGTGTTTTGCTGTGTATCCAGGCTGTCCTTAAACTCATACCCTTTCCTCAGGCTTGAAATGCTTGAGACTATAGGCTTCAGTTACCACACCAGGCTATTAAAATATTTTAAAGTGGATGTGACACACTTTCTCCATCCAATTGAGGACTGCTTTTATATGTGGGAACTCTTTGATGTGTTCATGAGTGTCTTTATCAGCAAAGATTTCTGATTTACCTTTTCTTTATCTTTTAAGGTCATCCTATGCGGATATGCTACATGACAAAGACAGAGTAAGTGTAAAGTAAGCCATATTGTAAGGGTTTCACTGTATGGCCCTGCTTGGACAGGAACTTGTTATGTAGACCATGCTGACATTCAACTTGGAGATGCTGTCTTTCTTTGCATTTTGAGTGCTGGAATTTTTTGTTTTGTATTTTGAGACAGGGTTTCTCTGTGTAGCTTTGGAGTCTGTCCTGGAATGCACTCTGTAGAGTAGGCTGGCCTTGAACTCACAGAAATCTGCCTGTCTACCTCCTGAGTGCTGGGACTATAATAGATAGGTGTGTGCCACCATGACTGGCGGAAGCCATAGTCTTGATATGGACTTTGGAATTTTGAATTATAAACTCTCCCAGGAATCAGGATTTAAAGTTAATTCTGAGTGATGTATGGTATAATAGTTAGAAAATCTTTCAGGATGCTGGCTTCTACCTCTGGCTGTTTTTCTGCTCCTCAGCTTTATTAAGGTGGATTAAAGAGGGGTGGGTGGATGGTGCAATGGATAAAATACTTGTTTCGTAAGCATGAGGACCTGAATTTGAATCCCCGGCACCCATGTAAAACCTGGGCATGGCAGTGTGATTCTAACCCAGTAGGAGTGACAGAGACAGGTAGACTGGGGGGCTTGCTGGTAAGCCTGTTTACCCAAGTCAGTCCCTTGAAGTTCAGTGAGAGACTTGGTTTCAGATACCATGGAATTTGATAGAGGAAGACATTCAACTTCTGACTTCCACATGATCACACATGAAATCAGGCTCACACATATATACAGTACAATTAGTTAAACATCTTATATATTTTTTGGTATAATGTAATATATTAACTGCACATGCATGAATAAACATACATTGTGAAGTGATTAAATCAAACTATTTACCATCTGTCATCTACATACTTTTTTTAAAAAAAGATTTATTTATGTATGTATATGAGTATTCTGTTTTCCTGTATATCTGCATGATAGAAGAGGGGATCAGATCCCATTATAGATGGTTGTGAACCACCATGTGGGTGCTGGGAATTGAACTAAGGACCTCTAGAAGAACAGCCAGTGCTCTTAACTACTGAGCTATCTCTCCAGCCCTGTCATCTACATACTTATATTTTTCCTTTGGTGATGAGCTGAGAACATTTAAATCTAATAGAATATGTAATATCTGATTTGACTGCAGTTACCATGTTGAGAGAACTTGCTCATTCTGTGTGACAGAAACTTTGTGACCTTTGACCAGTGCCCTCTCAGTTTCTAGTAGTCATCATTTGCTCTGCTTCTGAGTTCAATTTCTTTAGACTCTGTATACCAGTCACAACACATATTTGTCTTTCTGTGTCTAGCTTATTACTTATTTTACTTAACAGGTCCATCAGTATTGTTACTATGACAAGATTCATTTTTAAGAGTAAATGAATAGTATGCCATTTGGGGGAATATGTTTTCTTTTTTTTAAAACATTTATTTATTTACTCATTTTATGTGTATTAGTGTTTTGTCTGCATGTACATCTGCATGAGGGGGTCAAAGTCCCTGGAATTGAAGTTACAGACAGTTGTGAGAGGCCATATGGGTGCTGGGAATTGAACCTTGGTACTTAGGAGGAGCAGTCAGTGCTCTTAACCACTGAGCTAAATCTCCATCCCGGAATATATTTTTTTTATATATTAATTTGGTGATAATGACTCTGCCATTGATCTGTGATATAGAAAAAAATGTGCAGTCTCTTTTGACCTTGCTTGCTCAGTTTTAAAATGAGTATGGTGTAAAGGGTAAAAATTGTGAGTCCATAAAATCATATCTGTGGAGGTTCCTAAGGACATATTCTAAGGTACATTTGGCCGTCATTGCAGAGTTACATTTCATGTTTTCTTTTTCACATTTTTTTTCCTTTTACCTTTGTTTGGATTATGGAACAGTCTAGTTGTGATTTTACAATGAATTTTTTTTGGTGTTGGGTGTTGGCGATGTGAGCAAAGTACATTGATATATGAAAATGTTTTTTGTTTGTTTTGTTCTTTTTTTTTTTTTTTTTTTTTTTTTTTTTTTTTTTTTTTTTAAGATAGGACCTTTATGTGTTACAGTTCTGGCTGTCCTGAAACTCACTCTGTAGACCAGACTGGCCTCTGAGATCTGCCTGCCTCTTCCTCCTGAGTGCTGGGATTAAAGGCGTGTGCCACCACCATCTGGCTCAAAAATGTTTTAATGAACTTCCTTACCCCTGTTTTTTTTTTTTTTTAAGATTTATTTATTAATAAATTAATATATTAATAAATTAATATATTTTATGTGTGAGTGCTCTATCAACTTTATACCAGAAGAAGTTATCAGATTCCGCTATGGATGGTTGTAAGCCACCATGTAGCTGTTGGGTAAAGGAAACCTTGCTACAGTTCTCTGTGTTGTAGTCAAGATTCTTAGTTTTTTTTGTTTTTGTTTTTTGTTTTTTTTGTTTTTTTAAAGACAAGAGTCTTATTGTGCAGCACTGGCTGGCCTGAAACTCACTGTATAGACTAGGTTGGCCTCAGTTCATATCTGCCTGTCTCCGCCTCTCCAGTGCTGGGATTAAACTCATGCACCACCACACCTGGTGATTTTATTTTATTTTTATTAGTGTGTATGTTGTGTATACAGATACAAATGCTGTGCAGGTGATTTCAGAGGCCAGAAGAGGGTGCCATATCACTGGAGCTGGAGTTGTATTATAACTGCCCAGTGTGGAATCAGCAAGTACCCTTAATTGCTGAGGCATCTCTCTAGCCTTAAAAGGACATTCTTTTTTTTTTTTTTTTTTACTTTATTTTTATTCCATATACTCTGATGTTTTGCCTGCATGTATGTCTGTGTGAGGATGTTGGATCCCTGGAACTGGAGTTAGAGAAAGTTGTGAGCTGCCATATGGGTGCTGGGAATTGAACCTGGATCCTTTGGAAGAGAAGCTAGTGCTCTTAACTGGCGAGCCAGCTCTCCAGCCCCTTAAAATGACATTCTTGAGCACCTAAAGATCTTATAAATTTTAATCAAATGTCTGAATGTGTTTGCTCAGCTATGGGGGAGGGGAGAAAGCAGTCCTATTTTTTTGACTAGACAAATAACATAACATTCTCATCTTATTATTGAGTCTTGTACTTATGAGACTTTCTGATTTTAGTATGACCCATATAGAAAGGGTCCTTCTTAACTTCAGAGGGAAGTTGGCAAGATGACATCCCATCCAGTCAGCTAAGGCAGAAAGATAGCTCCCTTTTTTGTGAGCCTGTAATCTATCATCAAATTTTACTCATCTTCCAACTACAGATCCTTGGTCAGCCCTCATTTACTTGCATTGAGTTTCTCTTATTCCTCTACATGACAGCCCAAGGGTTAGTCTGACTGTGTGAGCTGCCTTGTGGATACTAGCAATTGAATCAGGTCCTCTACAAAAGTAAGTGCTCTTAACTGATGAGCCATGATTCTAGCCCCACATAAGTATATGTTTGGCAGTTTTAAGAAATTGTTGAAACTTTTTTTAGGGTGCATGCATAATATTATGTTCCCATTACTGATGCATGGGGTTTCTGTTTCTTTAAATTTTTGTCAAGATTTATTATTTTAGAGGCTGGTATCTAGCTCAGTTATTGATGCGCAGACCAAGCAGGGTAGATATCTCATTACACGCAGCAGTATACTTGCCTAGTATATGTGAGGTCATGAGTGATACTTAGCACTAGAAAAAGAAAAGAAATCAATATGTGGTATTTTACTCTGAAAAACAGACAAACAAAAGTCAATTCCCAAGCGCCCCCCCCCTCCAAAATCCCTTTTATTATTGGGTTGGCAGGATGGGCCATCAGGTAAGGGTACTTGTCTCCAAACCTGAGGAGCTCAGTTTCATCCCTAGACCTTACATGGTAGAAGGAGAGAACTGACTCCTGCAGATCCTATTTGGATGTACATATATACCCTATTGTTGCCCATACATTCCCCAACCTACACAAATAAATAGTAAGTGTGAAACTATTTTAAAAATTATTTATTGGGGCTGAGAGAAGGCTCAGTGATTATGAGCACTCCAGAGGACCCAATAATGAGAGCATACCAAACTAAGTCAATAGAAAGCCCTAGGACCAACAGAAACTTCCACAAGTTGGCAAGGAAGATCTGTGAGCTGGTCCTTTCTGAGATGAACGTTCTTGGGTTTGCGTGCTGCTCTGAGGCACCAGAGGAGGCAGGTTGTGGGGTACTGGGAGAAGAGGGCCTGGAACCATCTACCATTTCTGAAAGGATCCTGATCAGAACAGTATTCCTCCGGGAAGTGTGGTATACAGAGAATCACTTAGTATAGGACAGGAGGCTGAGTCAGTGATCTTGGAGTCTTGCAGTATCTATCTAGCTCAGCTGGTAAGTGCTGATAATCTAGGGGCTGGAAAGCACATAGGGTCCTGACTTAAACTGCTGCTGTCAACTGTGACTCCAGTTCTTTTTCCACTTATTTATAATATGTAACATGACAATTATTTTTCCCTTTCTCTTAGAATATAAAATATTACCAGGGTATCCGGGCAGCTGTGAGTAGGGTGAAAGACAGAGGACAGAAGGCCTTGGTTCTTGACATCGGCACGGGCACAGGTCTCTTGTCGATGATGGCAGTTACTGCAGGTGCTGACTTCTGCTATGCTATTGAGGTAAGCCATGCTGTTTGGGTATGTATCCTATGTCTTACATGGGAAGGTCTTTAGTCCTTGGGTTTTCCCAGTCTGTTGACAAACACATACCAAGCATGTGACCAACTTCTCCACACCCACACATATAGATGAGTCAGACAGGGTTCCTTTCTCCAGGAGTTATTTTTCTGCCCTGAAACAGTGATTCTCAGACTTGGCCATCAGACTCCCTGAGGAGCTTTAAAAAATAGTATGTGGGCTGGAGAGATGGCACAGTGGTCAAGAGCACTGTCTATTCTTGCATTGGGTCCATGTTTGATTCCTAGTACCCATATGGAAGCTTATAACCATCTGTAACTACAGCTCCAGGGGATACCCTCTTCAGGCCTTCTTAGGCACCAGGCGTACCTGTGATACACAGGCTTATATGCAGGCAAAACAGCTATACACATAAAAAATAAAATTGAAAAGAAAAAAATTGAAATGTTTCTGCTTTGCACTGAAATTTACATTAAAGCGTTTGTGAGGGATATAGTTCAGTCTCTACCATGTAGACCTGGATTTGATCCCTAGTACTACATAAACTGGATGTTGCTTACAGAGATACTACTGCCTCTGCTTCCCCAAGTGCTGGGATTAAAGGCTTGTGCCTCTACGTCTGTTCTTTTTTTCTTTTTTGAGACAAGGTCCACCTACATACATGTCCTTAGCAGACCTAGAACTTACTATGTAGACCAGGTTAGCCTCTAATTCATAAATATCCACTGTCTCTGTCTCCCAAATGCTAGGACTAAAGTTGTCCACTACCATGCCCTTAAATAGTTTTTAAAAGATTGATTTATTATATATACAGTGTTCTGCCTACATGTATGCCTGTAGGCCAGAAGAGGGCATTAGATCTCATTGTAGATGGTTGTGAGCTACCATGTAGTTGCTGGGAATTGAATTCAGAACCTCTGAAAGAACAGTCAGTGCTCTTAACCTCTGAGCCACCTATCCAACTCCCCCCCTTAAATTTTTTTAAATCACATTTTTATTTATTTTGTATGTGGGGAGAGGGCATTTGTGTGGTGGTCAGAGAACAACTTTTGGGAATTTATTTTCTTTTTCTACCATATAGCTCTCAGGGATTGAATTCAGGTCATTTCATCCTTACTGTCTTTCTTTAATAAAACGTTAAGTATTATGCTATTTTTATGATAATTTAAGTAGTATACACCAAACAGGGAATGTGGTAAATGAATAATAACAGTATCTTAAATAAGATAATTTTTTTTTTAACTTATTTATTAGTTCTAGTTAGGGAACAAGCTTGTTTCAAGTCCCTTCTCCCTCTCCCTCCCCTCACCTCCATCCCTCCTCCCCCCACCCCCGCCCCACC